TGGACAAGAACGGAGAGCTGGCAGCTGTCTTGGAGATTGTGAACTAGTTATGGTTTCCCAACCAGTCTGTTGTCAGGGAGAAGTTTGGGAGTTTTGCAAGACAGAAATCCCAGGAACCCAAGTTGCTCATTGACCAGGATGTTGCTATGTGGCCCCAAAGGTTTAGCAAGGTGGGGAAAACCATTTTATTCCTATCTCTCCTCTTCAGCATTGTCTTAAATAACACTTTCCCTGTGGAGCTTCTTTGAAGTCTCTGAAGCCCTTCAAGGGATCAAAAGAGTTGCAGAGAACCTCTCCTTAATTTTGTAGCTTACATGGTCCATTGCTATACCTGAATAAGGGAATCTGGATCCAAGTTCAACTGATGCCATTTTGCTTTTATTTTTATAATGCTTTCCACAGTTGTTATATTTTACGGATGTGGACTAAAACTGATGAACAGTAAACAAACACAGAAAAAACAGGCAGCAGATTCACTGGAAAACAATTTGTTTGTTTGTTTATTTATTATGCAATTTTGGACTGACATAATTATGTGACTCATGGTGGTTTACAAAAATGAAACACAGATAATATGATAACCAATTCCTAAAATGCTATGTTGGCTCTTATAAACGACTCCTGGAAGAGCTCCATTTGACCTTTTCTCTCAAAGCCAACAGAGTCAAGGCAAATCTAATCTCTCATTGCAAACTGTTCCACAGTCTGGAGGTGAAAAAGAAGAAACATCTCCTAGATTCAGATCCCTTGATCTCCCAGAAGGGAGATTCCTGGATAAACAGCTGCTTCTGTTAAATGGACCTAGTATACCATTTCTTTCCTTTGATGTCGACCCTAAACTACTGTCCTTCATGTTTCCTTTTTCTGCTCAGGGTCTGCTTCCCTCCAGGTATGTGGAAAGTTGTCAGCATGGATTTTTCAAGGTGGGTCAGGAAGGGGAGCCCATCTGCTGCTAAGACTGTGTTTTCTGTGCGGAGGGGACCTTCTCTCTCAGGAAGGTGGGTGACTCCAAAGTGAAGCAGCCCTTTAGTAAGAAGGCTAACACTTCTCCCTGGGTGAAGAACCCACGTTGCTTGGTTTATTTCTGAAACATATTAAAAAATAGACAGGCTAGGAAACCAAGGTATGAAAGATCAACTGCTAAACCATTAGCATGCATCCTTCACCAGGGTTAGAAAGCAGAAAAGTGCTCTCAGTGTTTAGTAAAGTTGGTCACAGTTCCTAAAATTGCATCTTCTTTTGTTTTCACTGTTTCTTACCCCATGCAGCATCTCTGCTGGTGGCACAAAAACGACTCGATTAGTGGCTGAACCTGGTAAATGTTACTTTTCTTCTCTTCAGATGCAGATCATTGCACCAAATGTCCAGAAGACCAGCATCAAAATAAGGAGAGGGTTAGAAAGCAGAAAAGTGCTCTCAGTGTTTAGTAAAGTTGGTCACAGTTCCTAAAATTGCATCGTCTGTTGTTATCTCTGTTTCTTGCCCCATGCAGCATCTCTGCTGGTGGCACAAAAATGACTCGATTAGTGGCTGAACCTGGTAAATGTTACTTTTCTTCTCTTCAGATGCAGATCATTGCACCAAATGTCCAGAAGACCAGCATCAAAATAAGGAGTGAGAGAAATGTGTCCCTAAGGAAGTAAGCTTTCTGACCAACAATGAATATCTGGGGACCATCTTGTCTTCCCTTGCACTTTTCTTGTCGTTACCTACTGTATTTGTACTAGCAATCTTTGTGAAACACAGAGATACTCCCATCATCAAAGCCAACAACCGGGACCTCTCTTACATCCTCCTCGCCTCCCTCTTGCTTTCCATCTTGACCACCTTCCTCTTCATTGGGCGGCCAAGGAGAGCCACTTGCATTCTCCGACAGACAGCCTTCAGCATCGTCTTCTCGATTGCTGTCTCTTCTGTCTTGGCCAAAACAGTCATGGTAGTCCTTGCTTTTCTGGCCACAAAGCCAGGGAACAGAATGCGGAGGTGGCTGGGGAGGAGTCTGGCCAATTCCATCATTGTTTCTCCTTGCAGTATCCAGGTGGTCATCTGCAGCATCTGGCTGGTGGTGTCTCCCCCATTCCCTGTTTCTGACATGCACTCCCAACTAAGAGAGATCATCCTGCAATGCAATGAAGGGTCTCTTGCCATGTTTTATATTGCTCTTGGCTACATAGGCTTCCTGGCTGCCATCTGGTTCATGGTGGCTTTCCTGGCCAGGACCCTACCTGGGGCCTTCAACAAAGCCAAGCTGATCACCTTCAGCATGCTGGTCTTCTGCAGCATCTGGGTCTCCTTTGTGCCCACCTACTTGAGCACCAAAGGGAAGTACATGGTGGCTGTGCAGATCTTCTCCATTTTGACCTCCAGTGCTGGCCTGCTGGGTTTCATCTTTTTCCCTAAGTGCTACATTATTTTACTAAGACCAGATCTAAATACCAAAGAGCAGCTAGTTGTGAAAACATAAATCAATATCTCATTACTTCTGCAATCTTTTTCTCAAAGTTATAATTTTGTGTACATTCTATGTGTTTCCCATCTCAAAAAAGTTTTGTAATACACTAGGGTTCTTAGGTTCAACCTCCTAATACCCTCTGAATGGCTTTGCCATGGTTTGGACTTGGTTCCACTGCTACCACCTATTGTGCTGAAAGCAAACTGGCCATACTGCCCCCTCTCCCCATTCCTTTGCACCCACTCCCTAAGTGGTTTCAATGAATTAAGCCAATATTACAAGTATGGAATAATTCCCAGGCTGCAGAATTTGAAAAGGAGGTCTTAGAAGATGTCCTCCTCTCACCATCTCTTCACAGTTTCCAAAGTGGGGTCTCCCTGGACAGCTGAAGTAAGTCCTGGGAAATGAAGGAGAGGAAATTTTGCTTTGGAAAATTGGTAGAGGTCCAGCTAGGAAATTGCATGTTGTTTGTCTTCTTATCCAGTATTGTCAAATTAAGTGTTAGTATACACAATATTTCAGGAAGACCAGAGAATGAGGATGGTCTGCTATGAAGGAATGTTTGCCTTTCAAGATGGTGGATGTTGCAGTTTGATGTTACAGACTATCAGACAATTATAAGCAAAACTAACTTGAAAGGTTTCTCCCACAGGAAAGGTTGAGACCAACCTTTCTGTTCCAGATACAAGTCTCCTGTGTAGTGGGAAGTAGCTTTTTCCTATTCAGGCCAGTGCCTCAACTACAATAGTTGTTGTTTTATAAGAAATAAATACATTTAAATAAATAAGTAAACCCAAATAAAGAAGATAAATAATGTCCCTGTGGAAGGACAAGCTGCCTGAGCAGGCTATAAGCCCCTGCGCACCTTCTTCCCCCACCTTCTTGGCCCTCCCCCATCACCAGGACAACCCAGCTACCCATCAAAGTGGGGATTGCTCTCTGTTTATATACAGTAGCTTGCCCTGCCAGCGTCGGTAAGGGTGTGGTTTTCTCCTGCCTCATGAGGAGAAGCAGAGCCAAACCCGGGAGTCAGATAAAGAGAAAAACTCAAGGATCGACAGTAGCAGGTTTGGCCTAGCACAGCCAGCGCCACTGCTCAGTTTCACCACCACTAGTCAATTTCACTGCCTCAGGCATAGGCAGTCAGGGAAGGGAAACAAGGCAAACCGCAAGCTAATTGCTGGCAGGTGGCCCCAATTAACTCATGGCCAAGAGTAAATTGGAACCGGCAACATTGTAGTGGCAACATTGTAGTACCGGCGGCTCCCCAGACCGGGCAATGCCCCGATTACAATGCTTCAGGAATACAGCAATCCGGAGGCAATCAGCGAGCAGTTGGAACCCGACTTAAGAAACCCCATTTCATCCGCATGAGAAAAGCCCCATAAGTACACTGACAACATGGACAAAAGACGAAGATCATGAGGACAATGAAACCTGTCCTGAATCTGCCATTAAGGAGACGGGAGGGAGATCGTGACAAGCAGAGGGGTGACCAGGGACAAGGGCAGGGGCGGAACCCAGGGGTACTATGGGTCAAGGGGGGAACCCTATAAAATACTGTAAGAAACTGCGCCAAGCCAATCCTGGCTTTGTCTGTAACCGTTACGCATTACACCTGAGTAAACTAGCTTTTGTTCGAGTCCATGTCTCACGAGGGTTATTTCCAGTACCGAATGCAGCTAACGTTACAGACAGCCCTGATGAGAAGAGCAATAGGAAAGGAGGCAAAGCTGAGAGAACTGGGGAGAAAGAGGTGTTTCCCTCAGATGGAGGAAAGTTTGGGAAGAAGAGGAGGAGAATCCAGAACCCCAGTCAGGAACAAACTGGCAGGAAAGGGGAAGAAAAAGTCAAGACTTGGACAGAACAGAAATAGAAAATAGAAACTAAAAAATGATGAAAGACAGATTGAACTCCGAAGGAAAAGGAGTACAGCTGCATAGAGAGTGACAGTAGAGGTATTCAGGGATTAAGGCGACAGAAATATCGAAGTCAACCATAAAGAAGTATATTGGAGATATAGAATAAAAAGATATGAAGGTAGAGTGAAATTGGATTTTGAAGAATATAGTGTAGATAAAAAGCTTATAGAAAATGATTAAACTAGAAAATAATTTTATTATTAAGATTAATTTCTGAACTAGCTGAAGGCATGTATACTTGAAAATTTCTCTCTCTTTTTTTCTTTTTAAGATCTCCTTTTGTACAATAAAAGACTCCCTCCAGCTACTGAAGGGAGATACAAAAAACCAATAAATTGTCCAAGTTCCCAGGCCAAGTTTTGATTATTGCCTTGGTGGTTTAAAAAAAGTACTCACAATCCATTGTATGTTGAGGGGAATATCCTGGCAGAGATTTTAATTCGAGCTCGCATTCAAATTTAGCTTTGTGGAGTCCTTGGCGCTCCTTGAGCTTGGTTGTTTTCTTGCAGACGTTTTGTTACCCAACTAGGTAACATCTTCAGTGCTAGAAGGGAGTGGGGTGTACTCTCTGTTTATATACAGTAGCTTGCCCTGCCAGTGTCGGTGGGGGTGTGGTTTTCTCTTTAGTAGTTCCTTGATTAGAATATTGTTCTCTGCTTGACTGTTTGTCTGGTGTTCATCCTGGTGGCAATCCCTGCTTATCTGAGTGTTGAATGCTGGCAAGGAGGTGTTCTGTTCTTTTTGTTTCCTTATCGTTGTCTCTGAAATGGTGTGTAAATTGCTTATCTCTATGTGCCTGTTGATGGCTGACGTTTCATTACCTGACTAGATAACATCATCAAAGTGAGTGTGGGGTTTGCTCCATGTGTGTATATAGTAGCTTGCCCTGCCAGTGTCAGTGGGGGTGTGGTTTTCTCTTTAGTAGTTCCTTGATTAGAATATTGTTCTCTGCTTGATTGTTTGTCTGGTGTTAATCCCTGCTTATCTGGGTGTAGGTTGTTGGAGAGGATGTGCTCTGGTCTTTGTATTTCCTTCTTAGCTTTCCTATTTTTCTCTTTTGAATAATGTGTAAATCTGGTTTATCTCTATCTGTCAATTGATGGCTGATGTGTTTGAGTGCCAAGCTTCCAGGAATTCACTAGTGTTTTTGGAATCAGCTTGGTCTGGGATATACACAGTTGCCCAGTTGTAACTATGGTTGAATCTGTCCATGTGTTGTGAGATTAAGGAGTTTTCATCATGTCTTCTGACTGCTAGTTTGTGTTCATGGATGTGCTGTGCTAGTCTTCTGCCAGTCTTGTATAGCGGCTGTTACAGTCCTTACCCTGTATGTTGTAGATGACTCCTGTTTTTTCTTCCTGGGCTACTAAAGCAAACCTAATGAAGGAACTATCAAGGAGAAAACTACACCCTCACCAACACTGGCGGGGCAAGCTACTGCATATAAACAGGGAGCCAACCCCACACTCACTAGCACGGATGATGTTACCTAGCTGGGTAATGAAATGTCTGTAAGAAACAACCAAGCTCAGAGAGCCCAAAGGATTCCACAATTCAACCCTGAGTGACATATATTCTCTTCTATTGGAACCTTAGCTTTATTTAGTATATGTTATTTTCTGTGAGTTCAGACTGGTTCCTTTGCTCAAAAAATCCCAAGTCCTGTTCTTAAAAAGCTGGATATTAGTTCAATGGTTTGCAATCTGAGAAAAAATCTGGTAAGAGGCAAAAGGCAGGCCGATGAGTGACTGGGGACAAGTTGCAGATTTCCCTTCTTCCAAAGGGCAGATCTTGATAAGGTGGAAGTCAGTGAGAAGATGTGAACCAATAATTAAATGCCCTGAACATTATTTTACAGGTATTTACATTTGATGTAAGTATCTCTAGGTGCTGTACAAGAAAAATTAACCACGTATCATTAAAAGGTAAGTCAGATGCTCAAAATGGAGAACTGAATGGAACAGATGAAAACAACCAACAGGGAGATCCACTCACCTAGCCCCGATGCCTGGAGAAAGAGCCGGTCTGGACCACCCAAGGCCAGCAGGAGTCACTTAACAGAGTTTTCCATTGTGTTTGAAGCTACTTGTAATCTCCCAGTCTGTAGTCTTTAAAGGCAGCCCTGCGTAAAAGACATTGCAGCAGTCTATCCAGGTGCTCCTCTGCGTGAGAGTAACTGTAGACAGATCCTCTTGTGCCAGGCAAGGCCTCAGTTGATGGCTGATGTGGGCCTTCCGGGCTGTGTGGCCATGTTCTGGAAGTTTTGGTTCCTAACGTTTCGCCAGCATCTGT